ATTGGTTCATGAGTAGCAAAAATTGGGAAAACCATCTCTCAGCACGGTATTAATTAATTTGATAATGAGTCTTCCAATTAAAGTAAAACGAAGGACAAGCTTATAAGGTACTATATTATTTTTTTGTAACGATATAAATTTCTTAATAAAATAATTTTATAAGTTGTTTTTGTCCTCTCCTACCTATTTTTTCTATTAAAGATTAGTTTTGGTTTGTGTCTTTTGTTAAATCATAAAATTAATTTATTATTTGATTAAATTTCCTTGCAGTTTTTTTATTTCAAACATTTGCACATAAAATTTTTAAATATCCATTTCAATTGTTGAGCAGTGTATATTTTAAAATACTTTTCTCTGAGAAATTTAAATTAAGTAGTTTAAAAAACAAGCCGTCCAGGAGTACAAAATATTTTTTTTAATTATATTTTACCTTTTTAATATCATCTTTAGTTCATGGTAAGTTTTAAAATTATCACCCCTTTATACAATACATAAAATATTCTTCTTCGTATTATTTAAAATGTTTAAGAAATTAAGTCAATTTGTATTTCTGTGGGGGCTAAAAGAACAAATTTTTACTTTTAAAAAATAATTGTTGTCATTATTTCACTCACATTGCAAAATAGTGAGTGTTATCATGTTAATAAATAATAAATTTAAAATATTTTGTAATATTCCATACCTATTTGTCAAGATAAGAATATTGTCATATCATTTAAATAACTAGGTACAATTAAAATTGTATTTTTTGAAGGTAAAGGAATTTTTTTACAAGAAACTAGCCAAATTATTATTATTTTTTTAATGAAAATGATATTGATATAAGAAAACATTAATAACCATGGTACAAAACAAATACAAGAGACAGCACAACTAATAATACAAAGTGCTATCCCTTAAATTATTACCAAAATTGTCACTGTATACTAATTAATTTAAACAAACATTATCAAATGCATGTACCTAACATATTTTTATATTTTTTTATAAATATACCTAATGTAAGATTCTTCAGATGAAGATCATATAAGAAGCACATCCACATATTATAAAATGTAATAATTACACACCCTGTATCATCTTGCCATTTTCAATCTATCAATCAATCCAATCGTTTTATGTAAATCTGAGGAACCTCTGGCGACTCACGTTAACTGTATTTCGAAGCTACAATTGGAGATACATGACGGGGAAGTATATTGTGTGTGTGCGCCTCTCATTGACGTGAGAAAAAAACATGATTTTGCTCGAAGATGTGATAAACACGCTGATATTACTTGTTCACCTTTCACTAACGAGGTTTATTTAATAAGCAGAAAGTTTCTGGTAGAAAAAAGTTAATTACAGGTATGAGTGATTTAAAAACGAAATTGAAAAAAAAAAAAACGTATTCAAGGACAAATTTAACAATTAAATAAGAAATTCATTATATATGAAATGTACAATGTAAAGATTTAGTAGTTTAAATTTGCAAGAATATTGAAAAAACTGATAAACAAAGAAATTCTAGATGGTAATAGTTTCTTTCTTAATTTATCATTCTTTTTCAAATTGCTTCTGTTTTCATTCTTTTACATTTTTCAATGTCTATTGGTTTTTTTAGTGACTTTGAGTTTTTTATTGACTTTGTGCTTTTTATTGACTGTGTTTTTTATTGACTTTGACTTTGTTTCTTTTTATGATAGAAATGCAATATAATTTTTCTTTTATAAACTTCAAAATCTATAAAAGATTTTAGATAATGATATCGATCTCAACTTTCTTTAGAATTAATCCATTGATAATAATAATGTAATAGTAGATAGTAGCAGAGTAGTAGTAGGAAATAAGTTTATTAAACAAATTTTTCTATACAAAAAACAGATTTAATCATGAAAAAAGAAAAATAAAAAACAATTAAAATAGGATGACTACCAGTGATTTATACTCTAAGACATAATCGTTATTTTCTTTACAATCATTTTTGGGCTTCTACAATTTTTTATTTTAATGGAAGTAAGTTGAACATCCATAAACCCATCGTCAAAAATGTGTCATTAGTAACTTTAATACTATCATTAAGTCTTTTGTTAATAGGATAAATGTGGCTCTCAGATCTTTTCATTCATTAAAAACTCATTCAAATAGTATGATACCGTATTATTAATTAATATATTAAAGTTAGATTATTAACTGATCCACCGTTGTCCAACTCAATTTGTTCAACATAACAATTGGGTATATTTGTTAGAATTTAGGATTGTTCGCATACATTTATTCTGAATAATCTGTAACCTAGGATATCAGTTTTGTTACAGAATATTAATAACTGAAATGTGGGTATATTATCAACATTTTAGTTCAACGAAATAAATATTCTTCTAAAAAATCCTACTAATTTTGTTTCATACATAATCGATTTTTTTTTTAATCAAGTTTAGGATATAAAGGAACACAAGTATTTATAGTCTTGTAGAAATTCAATGCTTCCATTATTTATTTTAAATTCTTAGTTTCTAAATCATTAAATTTTGATCTATTAACACATAGCCATTTCTATAAGATGCAAGGGGATGTCCACAGGTAAAGGTGCTATCACCGTGGAACATGGTCCTCGATACCCTCAATACCCTCATCAGCCGCCTTAATAATGACAGTCACTACACAATAGTGTTTGCAGATGACCAGGTCATTCTGATAACTGGAAATTTTCAGAACATATTCTGCGAAAGAATGCAAGTAAAGAAAAGAGGGTCAAAAGAGCATACATTGCTAATGAACAATTCCGCAGAACCGTGGGGCGCATCTGGGATTTATGTTAACATATGGTGCAATTGTCTAGGTACCAAAAACTTAAAAATTAACTTCTATCCGCAAACTAAAATAATTTAAAAGGATAGCATGTCTTAGTCTCACTCCCTTTGATATTTACATCAAAGAGATTGCTCTAATGACGTGCCTTCGCACAGTTGGACTAGAACCTGATGTAGGATCTGATGAGGCGAGACGTCGCTTTTGGTAGAAAGTGCTTGATACACTCTGACTCGTTCAAGCGAATATGGACTCCATCTCATCGAGATATATCTTCCATAAGTCATGTACGGTACTATTCATATCTACACTGACGGTTCTAAAGCAAAACAAGGCTCAGGATATGGAATATATTCCAGATCCTTAAACCTAAACGTAAAATGGGCTATGACCAATAAGTGCTAGTGTAGTTAAAACCGATCTCAGCGGGATTCTCATAGAAGCAAACGAAACCAGCAGAAACAATCACTGGAAGAAGCATGCTCATCTATTCAGACAGCAGACAAGCACTATAGTCACCCTGAACAGACCACGAATTATTCAGGGTTAGTATGTACTAGAATGTAATAAAGCTTCCATCAACAATGTGGTCACCTTAAGAAAGATAAAAAGTAATCGTCTTACTGATTCACTAGCTAAGAAGGCAACCAACCAAATACTTTTTGGATCTGGCCCTTATATTGGACTGACAACATTTGTAGTGACATACCTAATTAAAAAATATTCCCTTGTGAAACTCAAGGAAAGATTGGATGAAATAAGAAACTGCAGAGGCGCCAGGGAGCTTTTAGGTTATCCTGGCAACATTACAGCAAATAAATAGACATCATTTGCACCTGATCACAGGCATTTGGACTGGTCATGGCCAAGTACTGAATCATCTCTATATGATAGAGCACTCTGCAGGGGGTGATAACAAGAATACGAGACCATCGAGCATATCCTCTACAACGCTCTTATTTATTAGAAGAGAAGCACCTCTTGGCGACGTCGTCAACTATATTAAATCTGTAGGCTTGCTCACGAACTAGAAAGTGCCTATCATCTTAGGTGGGGTAACCCACTCTCCACACGTTTCAGATATAGAAGAGGTACACAGAGAAAAGTTATCCTATGAGATTCTAATGAAGATACAGAAAAAAAAATTGGGCGAACGAGGAGAATTTTTTTTATACAATATGAAAAGGAGAGTAAAAAGTAGAAAATTTTGGTCGTCATAATAAGTTAAAGTTTTAAGACGCAAACTTTTTATTTTTCGCGACTCCAATCCAAGTTTTTAAGATGACAAACTTAAAATTTAATTTAATAAAAAACTTTTTAAGAAAGGCTGTTATATTTATCATTTTAATGTTTTTATAACCTTATTGTGGATATTGCATAACCAGAGTACAAGCGAAATCAAAGTATCGTGCTGGATAATTTTTTATTAATTATGAAAAAATAGGAGGTAAACCTAACTTTTTTAATAATAATCAAACAAAGTTCGTTTCGTATAAAAATAAATATCTTTTTTTATATTAGAGAGTTTTAGCAAATGTACGTAAGATTTCCGCTAACGTTACGTTAAACTTAGATTGTGACCTTTTTCATAAACATTGAACGGAGTAGATTACATTCTATCCCTAAGGTAACGTTAGCGGATTGTTAGCGGCTGTTTGCTAAAACTCCCTATTGTCTGTGCACTGTTACGTAAAATTACACGTAGTCGGAAAATAAACTATTTGAGTAGAAGAGGAGAAATTTTATTATATAAAGTGAAATGGTTAAATCAAAATTCGAAATTATATGCGACAAGACTAACTATCTAGTGAAATCACCCGCATAAAATAGCTCTATAGGAAATGCATTGTATTTTAAAAACACTGATGTTTAAAGCACTTAACTTAAATCGAAAATTCTATATATCAATAGGGTTCTTGGAAAAAATATATTTTAAAGTCAATAGCTCTATAGGAAATGCATTGTATTTTAAAAACACTGATGTTTAAAGCACTTAACTTAAATCGAAAATTCTATATATCAATAGGGTTCTTGGAAAAAATATATTTTAAAGTCAAATCTTAATTAAAATATACGTGCTGGCATATATAGACAAATTTGTTAAATCGCATTTTAAAACTAGCTTTTTATAAAAAGAAAGAACAAGATTCTAATGATAATTTCCGTTCTTTTGAGGCAATTTTACAACACTTGTCATACAAAAAATTTACCTTGGCTTCCTGTAGGTTCGGGATCACTATCCAGACTCTCCGCTGATGCTAAGTAAGCAGAACCTGCCTGATTGTGTCCACTACTCCCGCTAGAAGAGCACGAACCTAAGCTGGTTAAGGATACGGGCCTAGACACTTCCGATGAAGCAGTACTGCTGGTGTTACCGACACTACTTTCACTTGGAACCTGAAAGAAAAATGACAATAGTAAAATTCAAATATACGAAAAATCGTCATCAAATTGCATAATCAAATTACAGCGATTTTTTTTTACTATAGCGAGTTAGGGTTCTATCTTTTATCCCTATTGTCATAAATTAAATGTTAGGAGAAACTCTAAAATGGATAGTTCATAATATCTACCATCTTGCATAAACATTCATATACCAAAAACAGACAAATATAATCAAATTACAGCGATTTTTTAAGTTTAGCGAGTTCTCTCTTTAATCCCCATTGATATAAATTTATTCTAATAAAAAACTCTTAAATGGATAGTTTATATTATCTACCTTTTTGTATAAAAATAATTGGAAAACATCCTGGCAGCTATTTCACCAACTTTAACAGTATTGACATCAATTTACGCCTCTTAAGCATATCAATTACATATAACTGAAAAACAATGGACATGCAAAATTAGACAAATATGAATCCCTTTAATCTTTTGAAAGAAACAGTTGTAGGTGTAAGATTACAAATAGGAAAATAATTTCAAACTCAATGAAATGTGACCAAGACGTAAACTGAAGAAAAACAAGAAAACACGAGCGACCCTTTCTTTTCGAAAAACAACTACTTCTTTGGTTAATACCCCAATAGGCATTGCATTAAATCCAAACAAAAACAGCAGACAATTATGTTTCTATTAGATCCACCTCATTTTTGAACTGTGTACTATTAGCAAGCTTTGATTTTGCTTACTAAGTGTAGATGGTGCTACTTTCTGAGTTCTTAATTTCACTCACCCAGCTAATGTCTATTTCTAGCTGATGAGTCCTAATAAGGACGAAACCGATCCAAGAATGATGTTCTTTTTAGTAAGCAAAATCAAAGTTTTTGCGACCTACCACACCCTGGTAACTTCACAATTTATGAATTCCATTTTATTAAAGAAAAAATTGCATTCATGTTAAATTCAGATTCCTTCTTTTTAACAAAAAAATTATCTAGATAATTAATTCTTTTTTCTTTTGATATTCTTGGGATTATTTTGTAAGGTGTTGTTTTGTAAAATATAAAGTAGAACTGTATTTTTACGTTAAATCAAAAACAACGACTACATCCCAAGAAGAACAAAAGTAAAATTCAAAAATATGGTGTAAGAACCATTAATTAACAGGATATTAGAAAATTTTTATTGTAGAATCATAAAACATTAAATTTTATTTAGGATGTCCACTAGATAAAACCAAAATCTAACTTTTACATGTACTAGATAAGATTAAAAATTATCCCATGGGAATTCGACTCGAAACCTCCACACAACATAACTCTTTTCTCGGAGTAATATTAATCATAAAAATAAAATTTTCTTATAATTTTCGACGTCCCGGCGTTTCTACGTACCGACGCTTGTATATATTTGGCAATATTTTTATTATGTTTCCTAGTGCCTTTTCTTTTTTTTATGTTGCTTTTTTGTGCTACGCCTTTCTCATATTTTGGTTTAAATGTATACCTTGATATTTGAGACTCTCTTGGCTGTTAATTAGCATTTCTTCTACCTACACTGCAACTTTTTTTATTTTTATTCCAGCTACAAGAAGCACTGCTTCTGTTTTTTGTGCGTAGTAAGTACTTGATCGACTTGGACCGTCAATACATCTAAATCCTTTGCCGCATATCCAATAAACTTTGCACCATCATAGGGAACAGGTATCCTCAATACTTCATTAGAGTGTACATTTCGTAGTGTGGGACCAATTACGGATCCTTGCGTTATTGCCATTTTGCCTTTATATCCTACAAGTAGGGATCTATCTTGTTTATCTATGTTATATAGATATGGTATATCCCTTTCTGGAACATAAGGGGTAGTTAACTGGCACTAATCTAGTGAGATAACACTACATAAACCCCCCTCTCATCATTATGAATTCTTTAACTGTGTACATTTGATGGCAAATGACCTGTGACCTGTTAATTTTACCAGGACATGGGAGGTATAATATAATGTATACATAGCTTAGAGTTTTCCTTATTTTTTTGATTTACTCTTCAAACAATATAAAATATCACGATTTGCTTCTTATACTGGAGTGATAATTGATGAAATGCTATATAGAGTATAATATCACAGCTTATACAATACAGCTCCACAACTCCGTGTCGGCGTCTTTGATCTGGCGGTCGAGAACCAAGCAAGACGGAATGGTGCTATCTCTGTTAGATTCGAGGGAAAAGTCGGGCCCGGATTAAAATATTTTTTTATTATTGAAAAAATTGAAAACCTTGGCGTAATAAGGTTGGTTACATCCCATATTAAGTAAGTTTTGGGAAATTAAATTTTTAATTTGTTTTAAATTTGTCAAATATAATTAAAAAATTATTTAAATATAAATATTACGAAAAATAGCACATCTTTCGAATTAGAGGTTGAATAATTTGTATGTGGCTAGTAAAATCCTCGTTAACAAATGTTTTGAGCTAAAACAGTCACTTCACGACAATTTGTGGCTTGGATCCTTTTTACAACAAGGGCTTCAATTGTTAAATAATTTTGTCACGCTCGTGGATGCAAATCAAGTAGTACCCCGTGTGTCTGGCAAGTGTTACTCTTCGCGCAAAGGGTTTATACCTAAATAAACGAATGCTTCGACTGAGGTCTGGGAACTCTATGGTATTTTGGAATTATAAAGAATTTGTGCTTTTATTTTAACAATATTGGTTATATTTAGATGTATTCTTATTAATTTAAATACAGATTTGTAGAAGTAATACTTTGACAGTTTTTATTAATATAATATATTCAATTTTTATCTGACCATACCGAAGTAGGGAATTTTGAACCTTTATAGTAATGTGAAATTTGAATTACAATATTACACGAAATTACATAATTATTACTTATTTTAGGTAGGTACTAAATTTGTACTTGGAGAAAGTAATATCGATTTTTACAAGAAAAATTGAAAAGTAAATTAATTTAGTTCCTATTTCTGATGTAAAACTTAAACCAAGAAAACAAATAAATAGTAGTTTGTTCAACAAGGGTGGATATGATTGCCATATCACACAAAGACGAAGTTTGAGCACGACGTCGTAGGCGGAGTACTCAATCGTCTGATTGTGATATGAACAATCCACTCGATATGGTCAGTATATTTTTTCTACGACCCACTAACGAAAATCTACAAATTTAAAAAATGATTTTAGGTTATTTAGACAAAATAACTAATTTTAAAATAATTTACGAAGTTGGCTAATTTATAAAATAAAATAAACATGAAAAAATAATTAGTCCTCGGCCTAGATTCGATCCCGGGCTTTTAGCGTGGAAGGCAGATGCTCTATCCTCATCTTCACCGAAACTTTCAGGACTTTAGTTTTAATACTCGTAATTAAATAAGTATTATGTAGTTTGATTAAAAAATTTTTTTTAAATGTGGACACAATAAAAACAAAAATGCTATTATTCATCGAGTCTACACAAAAATTTTAATGTACTTTTTCGTTTTGTAGTATGTGCGTAGATTGGCTAATATCCATGCACAGATTACAAAACGAAAAAGTACATTGCCGTTAATTGAACGAATATATTTCATATTCATTCTAGGTAGTAAGAACACTGCAAAAAAAAATAAATTCGTCAATCACCGTTCCTATTTTGATCAACCGACTGCTATTATTTTTAAAATTTTAAATAAATGGCAATTCTGTCAAACTAATTGTCAGTATATTTTTTTTTTATTGAGATTAAACATACATTAAAATAGGTTATTCTTTTGAAAAACGTTAGCATGGATGACTAAAGGGTATTGGGTTAATTAATTCTAAAAGTGTGGTACAAATGTTATTTTTTGTAGCCAATTCTTCAAAATTATTTTGAAATATCTTTTCAATATTGAATATTAGTTCTACAAATTCATCATTTGACAGTTGCAGATTTCCAAATGTATCTCTGAATTGGCGTTATCATATGCCTTTAAAAATCAATAAAAAGAAAAATCATCTAATTCAACGTGTTCTTTGTTATATATAAGACAGGTATCACAGGAGTGAATCCTCAAGGCTTTTATTAAAAGGTAACCACACACTTTTTAAAATATGTAGGTATTTTTCAAATCCATATAACTTTTATTTAAAACTTTTTTGCGTGTCTATAACAAAATAATGAACAATAACGCACTAATGGGACACCCTGTATAAATTATATTTTTAACAATGAAAATTTCTTATAATGTGGTACTTATTGGTTTGGGTCCTTGGGAAAACTAAAGAATGTTTTCTTGCAGGTATAACCCTTATTAAAACAGCTTTTGACTGCACAAACAGAATGATTTCTTTTTTTTTTTCACTCATTCTACTCACAGCTAAAGAGTCACCAAAATAATAACAGTACCTTTAACTCAAACAAAATCAACGAAATTATACAATCAACGAAATTATACGCACGACTCAACACTTTACCTAAGTACGCTTCTGAACGCCAAAACCGTCTTTTCCCTCCGAAGGCGGAGCTTAAGCGATGCGCGACGAAATCGACGCAAACCGTTGCCGCCAAGAGAGTGTTTTAGCTGTATTGTATAAGCTGTGATAATATCCCAAAGGTATTGGGTTATTACTGTTGAAAACTGCCAAAGAATGCCTCAATTTAATTATTTGAAATAATATCTGTGAAAGTTATAAAGTGGTAGCAAAATTAGTTTGTGAAGGCGTTGAATAAAAAAACTTATTTATATTGTAAGTTTATTTGGACTTTCATTGGGTGGCTATTTTGAGCAATTGTGGATGATTTTAACCGATATAAAAAATAAAGAAACATCATGAGAACCGAGTTCTAGGTAATGTCGCAATTCTAATTATCAGAGATTGCATTACATCGAGACGAGACAGTGGAAATGTCAAAGCTTTCTATTTATTATTATTGTTGTTATTAATCATAAACAAACAATAGTTTGGGTTCTGTTTTGACATTTCGAGATCTCGGTCTAAATTATGCGCTCGTTTAAAAATAATAATGTG